CTTGTGGATATCCAACCCTAAAAGGGTTGACAATGAGTGCGTCCCAAAATGCGTGAAATGAATCCTCCGTTGTGCCTATAACGGGTGGCTTGGCAATAGGTTGTATACATTCAGCCCACGTTCGGAAAGACGCCTTGTCTGAAGTCACAAAGAATTGACTCAAAATATTTGGAGAAATCCTCGACCGAAAGTAAGCGTTATACATAGCTGGAGGAATGTTGACTGGTGTGGAAGGCGGTTTTTGAAGCCAAAGTAATAGATCCCAGCGGGATGGAATATACTCTGGTGGTGTTTGGAGCATATCAATGGTCGAGAAATATAGGGCATCTATGTTGGGAACGAAGTCGATTAGATAGACTCAAAATCGAATCTTTAGACGCAATTTCAAACCTACCATCTTCATCTTCATCTCTAAGTTTCTGTGCTGTAGTTATAAAGAGGAAGGAGTAGGAAATATTAAAGCGAGAATAAGAGATAACATAGCATCATAGCGAGCCACTAGTAAATGAAATTACTGCGGAGAAAACAGTGTGGGTTGGTTGTAGTGAACGCAGTCATAATGTTTACCTTCTCGCTCGCCCTTAACGTCTTTGATTAGTCCCGAAATCGCTCTAGCTGGTCCATCAGGAAGATTATACGGAGATGCTAGAAGGTCATCCTTGGATAGTTCAAGGAAGGCACGACCAGCAACCCAGTTATCTTCAAATACTTTAATATCTCGATCTCTGAGAAACAACTCATCCTTCTTAGTCTCCAGAAAAGTAATGACGTTCTTAGGGCTCCATTTACTGACTTCTTCAACCGAAGGGACTGATTGAAAGGACATGTTAAAATTATGGTATAGAGAACGCACAATCTCTTATTTATGCCATCTCAGAACGTGATTGGCTGGTGATCTTAACTGTAGTGTAATTACGTAACGAGGATACGGTGCAGATGTTGATTATTCAGAATAGTCGTAATAGTCGTAGTAATATATATCACTATGTCCCAAACGCCTCGAGTCATAAAGTATAAAGGCCGATTATTATCGGATTACTTTTTGATATCTTAAAAAAGTCTTTTAACTTGACGAAATTTCCTTCCAGATAATGATATGATTGGGTTTCAAGTCTCGTCGCATGCCGGAAAATTAAATCATATGCACGATGTTTGTAAATATATCACATAGATTTACACATGTCGAAATAACGATAGATACGCATATCCAAAAACTTCTATATCCCGATTCATACATGACATTGCTCCCTTGAGGCTCATTATAACGTGACATGATTTAATTTTGTGATCACGATCTGGACTAACTGATTTTTATGTAATACGTTTCTAATCGAAGCATGTGTTTGAATGCGGAGTCGCCAACCGAAAAAATATATATGGCATATGGGTAGGTCGGCTTTCTTCTCTCTACATTAAATAAATATCTATTTATACTTTTTCTATATACGTAGAAGAGATATTTTATATATTCGAATGTATCTTCTCCAAAATTATACGAGTCCGATGGAAAAACACTTGATAATTCATATAAATTGTTGTTAAAATTGGTGGGGAATTTAATACCTATACAGGGGAAACTTGGTATAGATATCAATCCCATTTTAGAAGCGGAACTTAGAAGGGATAAAGCTTCTTCAGATAAACCGATTAGATTATTTGATTTGCTTTTATGCTTAGAAGACGATATAGCGACAATTCAGGAAAAAATCGGTATTGTTGGCTATACTAATCAAGAAATGGCAGAAGAAGCCGATAAAAATGCGAGAGTGTACCTCCGAAATTTTGAGGAATTTCACGGCCCCTTAGAAGATGATCCAGGTGTACTAATAAAGAAATTCGTTGATAATGGGGTAAAGAAGTTTTGGTTTACTGGTGAGGGACTACCATTGTTTCCGAATGTCACTCTTCAACAATTGCATGAAATTTTCGTCAAAAAATCAGCTAGCAACAATCAGTGCCCATGTCTAGAATCAAAAGTAAAGAAGGGAAAATTATCACAGATATATATATACACTCACAGCAAATAGGTAGGTAAAAATTCTTTTATAGCCAGAATAATGCGCTTTTTGCGATATTATTTAATGATGTATATTTATTATTTTCAATTCAAATTTCATCAGGTATCAAGTTTACTAGCATTTAGATAATACCGATCTTTGGCTTGCTTCATAAATAATCCACCAGGTCTATAAAGCCATTTAATTACTACATGCTGGATTATTTTAGCGGAATTAATTTTTTTTCTCCATAAACGATATGTCTTCTGGATAATTATTGACGCACGATTTTTTTTATATAATGCTAGTTGAACTTTAAAATCCCTATATTTAGGATCATTACCTATTTGCTTATAGTTGGTTAAATTATTTTTGATACGAAATACAGAATTTTCCCAGTAATCTCTACTATTTATTTCATATCCTAACTTTAATAAACGCTTGCGTATATACTTTGGTGGATAATTTTTTGCAAACCGTAACCATGCTTCTGACGTTTTAATATTGTTAACGATATAATTTACACCATATTTACTTAACCTATCTCGTGGGCCCTCTAGGCCGTTGCTTTGCAATACTTTGCTATAACTCATTATATATTTGCTATTTCAGATGTATCTAATATATTTAATTGGTACTTTATATTATGAAATAATGAGCTCCGCTCTAATTTTGCAAGATAAAATTCTCATCGTGACGTTTTATTATAATAATATATTTAATTTTGCATTTTTAAATTCGTATTAATAAATAATAATTTCGCATTTACAATGACCGAAGCTGATAGCAATATTGGGCCAGCTCATCAGAATTTACAAGAGAATGATAATGAAATCACATCGCTAATAGAATCAGTGAAAAAATTATCAATATCGATCAATAATAGGGATACAGAAGTATTCTGTGATTCAGGTTCAGAATGTTCAATTATACCTTATGAAATTGCGAAAAAATTTGGTTTCGTAAAAGATAAAATTTTACCCAATAGCGAAGCTAGTGCCAAGGCACATATTACCGATAAAGTGGTATCTGATATTGTTAAGCAAGTATCGGGTAAAAAAATCTGGATCTCTCTTCACCGATTACTGGAGATAGTAAAACCCGAGGTTCGTCAAGAACTTATAAACTCGATAGCAAACCCGGATATCTCTCGAAGAAATCATACACCATGCAAGGCTAAAAGAAAAAAGAGATTTTTAAATAATACTGCGTCTGAATCCTCATCCTCGTCTTCATCTGGGTCTGACTCTGAATCATCTAGCTATGAAGTGAATATCCCTGGTAATGATGATAAAGATTTTACTGTGAAAGTGAAGAAGCGTGATTAGTTATCATCATCATAAAGGCGAAATGGTCTCGCTTCTTCGGGTTTTTGTCCGCGCCTTCTGTAGTTTACTACAACGTAATTTTGCACAGGAGACGTATGATTGTCAGATGAGTGACGTAAACACTCTCCAGCAATTGTATAAGCATGGGCCATATTCTTGGCCTCATGTGCTACCACACCATAAACGGCACCCATTTTTCGTAAGTATTTGGGAATTAGATCATAATCTTTTAAGAATCTATTGAACCACTTAACTCCTGGCTTACCTGGATTACCCATACGTCCAGAAGATATAGCCTTTTGAATCCAGGTAAGCAATTCCTTAGCTCGTTCTTGATCCTTCTCCATAGATCTAAATTTCCTAGGAATATCTGGCTGACCCCGATTCTTCGCATATCCTGTTACTCCAGCATCTGTAATACGCAAAGTTACAAGTTCAGCGGGACGTATACAGAGCATCACCATAACATCAGCAAGAGCCCAATAATCGGGTGGAGTTTTTAAATCATACGCATCTAATCTCTCTTTGACTGATTCTAATGTAAATTCATCTGGATAATTAATAGGATGAGCTTCAGCTTTTTTCTGATTGTCTCTCTGGATTTTGTTAGCTTCTTCTGTAAAATCTGGAAATTTCGTGGCCTCGA